GCTCACTTTTATGCGATTAACTATTTGTGAAAAAAAGAACACGCGTCGGTTCGCTTTAGAAAAATAATTACGGAAAGCGCATTTGCATTCGTTCTCTTGTCCTTTTGCAAATCTAATACATAAAAACTTAAATGTCTGGTTCAGAAGGTTCAGAGAAATTTCTATGTAAATAGTTACAATAGACCAAAAACTTTGTTTATTTTTTTAAACTCAATTCTCTTGAATTCGTCAAAACAAGCAGAGGTGTTCAGTTTCATTTAGACTACTGTCAAGTCGAAAACACAAAGTCACAACTTCAGGAAGTGTTTTTTTTTTTTTTTACGCTTAAGATGGAAACTCTCCGTCCCTTCACAATTCACTGGGTAACTTTCACAGCTTTAAAAAAAAAAAAAGAAAAAAAAGACAACTGTCTTCCAAGCTCTCAGGAAGAATGAAATGTGACCACGTTAATTTAAATTCTCAAAAATATTTTAAGGAAATTGTCCTCACGAATTCTGTTTGACTCGGCATTGACGACGAACTTAAAAGTGAAGAGGATGAGATCACCTGTTTCGATTTATTTATATTTTTCACAGTGCCTATACGCATTTTTTTTGTGATTAAATAAATTATTTTGTGTTGGTTACAAAAAAGGGAAATTTTCAGTGAATATGCGCTAAGGAGTGCTTTTTGTCCTTTGCTCATTTGCTTTCCACAAAACTTCTGAAAGATATTATTTGAGGATTTTCGAGTTGAGCTTGGTCTGTAAAACCCGTTTCAAAGTCATCTTTTTTTAAATGCACGTTAAATTCGTCAAATTTAATTTTTTTATTTTTATCCGCTGCACCAGCCATTAGGTTTTCATGTAATTGTAACGTACAAAGACCTCTTTCATACAACGAGCGGTGTAACACAGGACAATAGGAGATTTTGGGGACTTAGATCTGAGTTGTTGAATTAGTCGATGAAAAATTAAAGTGAACAACTCGAACACAATCATATCACAATAAATTGCGACTATACTCGGAGCCAAGCAGTCATCCAAGCCGGTGTTCCCAAAAGGAGAGGAAAAAGCTTGGCCATAAACAAGAAAATTTTAAAGATTCTTTGAGGATTGTAAATTAACTCGACAATATATTTTTCGTAATAATTTTGAAAAAATATATGGGTGAAGCTGAGCAATTGTTTGTGCCCTTGCGACCAAAATGAAAATACTAGGCTAATTAGTTCGATAAGAAACGAATACTTTGAAGCTAATCTGGTTTCTAAATTTGTCTCAAATATTTTTCACTTTTTGCGTCAAATCAATTTTTTTCGGCAGAAATCATAACTTGATAAATTTTACTTTGCCTAAGAAACAACAGAATTTGTAAAATTTTACAAAAAAATTGAACGAAAGACTGCTTATCAATTTCGGCGAAAAAAAATTGCACAAGGTGATGTTCACATATCTTTTGGCGGAAGCTATTTTGATTTTTTTTGTCGAAAATATCATCAGGGGAAAGTCTGTGCAAATTGCTCTAAATTTTCCCGCCAAAAATCTTAATATATATTTAAACGAATTTTTCTTTACACCTTCGTGATGATTTAACAAAAAATTACTTAACTAATTAAAGAAGAAAATACTTGTATTGTGTATTGTCATTTATTGATTGAAGTATTTTAAGAAAGTTAACAATCAAACGGTGAACAACATTGTTAAGTTTTTTGACTTTATTTGATAGAAGTATGGAAAGATAAATAGAGGCAATAAAGATAAAATGACTTGCATTTTCCGGAGGAAACAAAAACGGCGCATGCGTATTTTGGGCTCCCGTATTTTTTATAAGTTTTTTGGCGGGAAAATAGAAAATTTTAAACAGACCTTACTAAGGAAAACGTTTCCATAAAAAAAATAAATAAATAACGGAGAAAAATTTGGGTTGAATTAGTGCTAAAAACGTGTTTTTCCTAGGGAAAAAAAAAGAAATGCCTTAGTTCTAGACAATTTAAGTATTAGAATCAAATTTCTCGAAAAAAGGTTTGAAAAATTTTGATTGAAAATCAAATCTTTAAAAATTTATTTTGTACCAAGCTCTTCTTCAAACTTGTCTTTTGATTTGAAAGCTCTTCATCCTCTTGTGTTTGTGCCGCTTGACTTTGAGTTCAGTTGTCGGTCATCAAACAATCTGCAAGAGCATGGTAAACACGAATGAACACTGCATTCACATAACAAGATATATATTAAATCAATCTAGTAAATATAAACCATCTTAAGCAAGCATCAATTTTAGCAAACTGGTTATAACCTCACGAAAGTTATCAATATTTGGCGAATTCTCGCGCAACTTGCCAACAGTAGGATGTAAATTTGCCTTGAATTTCATGCCGCATTTAGCATTTTTACTATCTTAAACACTTTAAAATTATTTCAAGAGATGATAAAATGGTAACCTTCACATGCAAATTGCTGTAAGCCCGGAAAAATTAGATGTTTTTGCATTTTACATGCAAACATGCACGATCCTTTAAAGTATTCCAACGCCAAATTAACCAATAATTATAGGCGCAAATGAGGTGTTTCTCCTTTGCATATTTGCTGTTTTCTTCCCTGGTTTGCATTTTTTATCACACTTGTTGTTCAAAAAATAATTATGTTCCTCTGGATTCGTGTTAAGTCGACTTTTCTCGTGCAAAAGCAACCTAGATGTAGGGGTATCGAATGATCTTTGCGAGCATTTGTCAAATTTTTCTTGCGAGCAGCGAGCACTTCTGGAGTGCTTCATAAATTTTCCGCTAGCTGGAATCTCTCCTTTATTAGTAGGATACGTTCTTTTGCGCCAAGTAATAGCTAATAATCTGGCAGAAACAGAACAACAAGTGCAAAGCTAGGGCGGTTCAACCAGTCCCAGTTTCTTAAACCAATTGTGCCCTGCTCGATGCCAAATGACGTCAAGTAGCTTCACGTGAGTCAGTCGGGGTTGACGCTCAAGTCAAGAGCTCACAAGGAGATGCAGTAGATCCAAAGCCTGTGATCTAAAGTTTTCCATCTCTTTCTAACCTGACGCTAAAATGGAAGGAATGTTTTTTTGTATATGGTTCTTAGGAAATGTAAATAACGTGATATTCGGTCTAACAAGCATTTCGGCCTTCGATTTCGATAATCGGAAAACTAGTTTCCAGCTGATTGACTGCAAACGAATCAACGCAGTGAAGTTTCATTTATTAGCTTTTATTTGGACGCTTCTAGAATCTAACCAATTACAGCCGTACAGATCCGACAAACTTTAGTGGTAGCTCTGAAGGTCAAATAGTACTGGTAATAGTAGTATTTCCCTTGATTACATTCTGCCTTCGCAGGTGCCTTTCGAAAAGAATCCTTACATTTCGTGTTTCCGCGTGACATGGAGACAGTTTCTAGACATGTCTCTTTGTTTCGCAGGGCCTTTAGTTCGTCATCAAAATAATTAAAGCAACATTTCATTTAAGAATTACCCAGTGCTGGTGAAGCCCAAACGACCGAGGGTTGTTATTAGTACTGTTTTGTTTAATCGGGTTTCATATGCCACCGTTTGGCATCAGACCAGAATAGTTATTCTACTAGTGGCCAGGAAGCTTCCAAGGTTGAAATAACCGCTACAAAATGCGATCCGAGTACACTGTTTGAAAATATTATGACTCCGTCCATGTTATTTCCCATTGCACACTGGAAAATCCATCATTTCCATAAACCAGATAATCTGCTCCAATAAATAAGAATTTAGATCAACAAAGGTTCGCAAAGATTTTTGTGTCAACACGTGATTGTCACCTCCCGTCATGTCGAGCTCCTATTAACCATATCAGAATTTCCTGGTAAATAGAGCGTGTTACAATCACGTTTTCTTGAACTTAATTTACAATTAAAATAACTTAATATGTCTAATGTTTGATAAATACTCCTATTCGATACAAGAACTCCTCTGTATTTTGAGCTTTTTGTAAACAAACTGACTTAGGCCAAAGTATACTAATTGAATACATACATCATATAAAAATGCGAATAACTGTTTTAGACGTGATCTATACTTTTTTCTGGTGCTCGTACATAGAGTTATAATAATCGCTTAGAATAGTAACAGTCTTTTAATGTTTCCTGACGGTCGACTGAGTCGTAACTTCAAGTTCATAGTAAGCAAATGCGTCAAAAAGTTACTGCCATTTCATGTTCATTGGTTGGCAAACCTTAAAAATCTATTTAAAAAGATTTTTATGAAAAAGTAGCGAGAATTACAAACCAACTCATAATCATTTAAAATTCTTTAAGGCAACATAGCAACGAGCAGTCTGTCTTTATTAGACCACCTCCAGTTTGTCTCAATTGATTAGAGCGCTGGACTGTTGTGCGGGAGGTCGAGGTCTATGGTTCGAGCCCCGGCCGAACCAACACTCAAGGTCTTAAACTGACTGAGGAGAATGCGCTATCTTTCTATGATATGAAATGGATAGACATTCTAGTCTTCTCGGATAAGGAGGAATAAACCGTAGGTCCTGTCTCTTGCATCTATTAATTAGTTCATTTGGTTAGGCAGGGGATGTTGAAGAACCCACTCACGAGATTACTGTGATGTGGTCTGGCCTGTTTACTGGGAATTGTGGGGAAGGGCATCTTCAAATAAGTTTCCTTCGATTGTTTGTAAACTGCTGATGCAGTCCGGCCAAAGTCCCCCGAAAAGTGTTGTGATGCGCATTTGATCATATACACATGTTAATTTGCGCAATATAAATATTAAATTATTATTGTTATTATTGGTCCCTCACAAAGAAGCACAATGAAAAGTTACCATAAAAAATTAAACCAAATTCCGCATAGCGCTTTTTCATTGGCTCAAGGGACTAAGCTAAGAAAGATAAACTGGTCATGATCTAGCAGTTAAGAATTGCTTCTAATGACTTCCTTTACTAAAGGAGGTGAACAAAAAGGTCTTACTAAATATTCATTTGCACGTAGAATAGTAAAAAAATTAACAAAGATATCAAGTAAAATTTCAAGATTACGAAAATAAACCTTTAAAACCATCCTGTAAGGACTAAAACTTTTAATAAACTCAAGTTGTTCTTTGATTAAAATATCTATAAACTAACCTATGCAAACATTTGCAACGTTTTCTCCTATAATTCCGGTCATATCAAAGAGAATGTTTCTCGTCCCTTTTTAAAGTTGCAACTCCTTGGAGTTAAAAAAATACAATTAACTAAACAGCAAGTCTTAGTCAATTGGCGTCAGGTGTATGCGAAGGAGCCATCTTAATTAAGGAATAGAGCTCCGATTAACATCAACAGCAACAGGCTTGTGGTGATCTTAACTCCAGCTGTTGAATCAGCAACCGTCGGAGTTTCTGTGCCAGGTGAAACATCGAAGCTCGCATACACAGTGCGTGTGTTAAGGGCCTGGGTCGGGCGGTAGTTCAACCCAATGTAGTCAGTGTCGTTCATCATCAAACCGCGTATGGCAGCAACCTGTAATTATGAGAAGAATTTTTTTAACGTAATGCTGCCAAAATCTGCGAAATGTAGACGATAGTAACAACAGCGACGATACACTTCCTGCTGAGATGCGCTAGTTTGGGGTCAGTAGCTGTGTGCCACAGGGCAATCTCAATTAAGTGTGCAAAGTAATACAGGATTCCTACAGCAGTCTGATTGACTTTAAACACATTTCGCCCTGCCTTTACCAAACAAATTAAACCTTCCCTGATACAAAACTTAACCTGTGTAAAACCAAAACCAGATTCAAAATCACTGACGTCTTGATCATCTACGTTTTCGCATCCTTTAACTCCTTCAGGAATTTTCTTCGTTTTCTCATTGGCTGCCTGTGTCACGTGCGTTTCTTCCCAATGAGAATATTGTGTTACCTTTGATTTTGGCTTACGGCAAACGAGGAAAAAGGCGTCAGATCACGTTCTCGAACACAAAATTGAGCTTAAACACGAACACTCCTCCTAACTGATCCGCAAGACGAAAACATATCGAAGAAGCACTAGTTCCTTTCGTAATCATAGAACCCGCACTTTACAATCGTAAGGCTCACCTGAGATGCGGATATCTTTACGGAATCGTGGAAGACTGTCCATGTGACAGACTCGAAACATCCCGGCGTTGTTAGGGAGCCTTGGTACCTGTAGAACTTGCTCGTGTTGGATGGGAAAAGAGGAGAGAGAGGAAAAGGTGCAATGTGTGCAGTTGTGTCTGTAAAATAATAATTAAAAAAGATGAGAATTGAAAAAAAAAAAAGCTAGTTGGGTATGATAAAACAAGAGACCCTGCCGCCTTCTCCGAAAATCGTTGGGCTTAAGGTTAGGGATATGTACAGAAGAGATTTCAAGAGTTGAGGTATAGAGGAGAACCTCTCCCCTTCCACGGAAGTCGCCTCAAAACTCCACGAAATTAGATATCTTTCTGAAGCTTTGATTGACTCTCTCTATGTGATCTCCGTTTCCAAAAGTAACAGACATGTGAAAAAGAAACCTAATATGAGTGAGTAACAGAAGAGATAGACTTACTTCCATTGACAACTTTTGCGGTATAATTGAGGAATTTGTCGTAAGCGGAATTTGCACTTCCCACCTGAAAGGGAACGATATCATAGAAGGTTACATCGTAAAAAAATCGAATATTGTCTGAATGGGTCGATTTATTCCTATGGAATAATTGTTAGGCTAACTCGAGAATTAATTTTCACTCTCTATTAGCTGTTGGACAACTTATTTTCTAAATTTCTGTCTCCATACCTAAATTGTTTACGAAGTGCACGCAATTGGTTTAGAGACATTAATTATGAAATCACGATTTCCTGAGTTATTGGTACTTTCACTTTGTTGATCTATCTTTTGGACAACTGCTCCTTTTAGAAATTTATGCTGAATCTGTTCGAGATAAAATGCAGAGCAATTAAGGGAAATTGATAAACATTTTAGACTTGACGTGAATCTAATGGGCATTAAAGACGACAGTACAGAGAATTTTGCGCTTGATAGGAGAGAATTAATTTCCAGATTTAAGAGCACGCGTACGCACAAAGGTTTAAGCCTCTCGGCCTTACTTTTGTTACAACCTCTAAACTCAGAACGTCTACATAATTTGGTGCGCGACTGCAATATTACTTCACACTTCTCTTCATCTTTGCAGATTCTGCACTGTTGTGACACTGAAGCTTTGTGCATTATCTTTAGATCCTAAGCATCACAGCACATGACGCAGCACTCAAATACCTCAATGAAGACACCAAGGACAGCCAAACCATCAGGCTGCGCGGCGGCGTAGGTCAAGTTTGGGTATTTGACATTGTAGCTGACAAAATGGATCTGAGAGAAAGAAATGATCAGGATTGTTAGGTGTAATGTTGGTGATGGTGCCCGTGACTTTCCCTTCGTTGGCATGTAATTAGGATTGATCATAACTTTCCCCTTAATCAATGTTAAGATGAAAAGTTCGCCTAAATGCTATGGCTGATTAATAGAATTCGGCTTCTTGAATGCAGGATCTATATGAAAGCCTTGAATGTGAGAGTTATCGAACAGTTTCTAACGTTAAGTCTTTCATTCAGAAATGACACAGGAGATTTTGCGAGAAATTTTCTCTGTACGCACCTCTGCGGCAAACTTTTCGCCATTCAGAGTGTGCTCTGAACCTTGTCCATTTTCGGGTCCCCAGTGAAGGTGAAATTGAGCGGTGGTGTAGTTTCCTACGAGACCTCCACCACTGACGAAGAACTTTTTATCTGGTAGGTTCACGTGCAGAGCAGAGCCAGTGTTCTCTTGAGTGAACTTAGTCGAGAGTGTACTTCCGTAGTTTTGCCAGTTCCAGTCTGAGAACGACTTGTAGGTTACATTAGTGAAGGAAATGTCTATGGGAGATTGGCTTTTCCCTGAGGCACAGTTACCCGTCCATCTCAACGGTCCTAAAATGGCAGAAAAAGTTTAAACATTTGACACAAGAAAAGTGTAAAAAATACTACTTAAGGGAGTGGCTTAATAAGTACTAAGGGGCTCTTGTCTTTGTCAAAAAGGGACTAATGTTAAAGTACTAGTTATGGATAGCCAGTCATGTCTCCAAATAACAGTGGGGTGATGGGTTGAAATTCCCTTCATTGGTCGTGGAATACTCTCTACACCGCGTATCAAAAGCCCTGATGAGATATTTAAGGGGTACGAGAACTATAGGTAGGGGGGGGGGGGGAGCTTCTACCTGACCCAAAAGTGGTACCATCGAAGTCGATTTTTAAACATCAAGAAAGGCGCAACCAGCGACTTACCATCGGCACAATTACTGCAGTAGCTCCAGCCTGAAAAGGGGAAATAACATTTTTAACATATAGAAAACTCACATGAACAACTGATAAGGTTCTTTTTTTTTCTAAATTCTGTGTGTTGAGAATTGAGATCGTTTGGAATTATGAAATAAAAGAAAAATTAAGTCCATAAAGGTTATCAAGGAAAGTAACTTCGAATGCCTTTGTTCGACTTTTATAACAAACCCAAGGAACCAAAATTGTTACTTACCCTGTGGGGGAGGGGAGGGGGCGGGGGAGAAGTGGTTCATTTCTCTTGGGAGGGAACACTTCTATTCAAAGCACACACAGTTCTAAAAAATGCCTGAGGAAATCGGACTGTCTGTTAGGTTACTTGCTAGTATCTCTCATGATCTGTCTCGATAAACTTAGCCACAACAAATATAATGCTGCTAAGAAAACGAAACGCCAATACAGAGGCAACAGCAGTGTAGTGTTATTTACCATATTCAAACGTCTGCAGAAGGCATTACGAGGTATTTCGAACCTTTCGTTTTATATTTAGAGAAATGAAATACTTACTGTCGGTTCCTAAGCCGATAGAAATTCCAGTAACACCAATGAAAGCTAACACCAGAAATTTGGCCATGGTTTGTTAATTTTGCTCTTTTTTTCCTGTGGAAGGAAACGACAGAAGGGTAATATCTTTAATTTTGTACTTAATTCTTTTTCTAAGGTATGTTTCTTTTACAACTTAAAATACTGTTTTTAAATGTAAATAAAGAAGCCGTCTGGGATTATACCATGATTCGTTATACAATTTAGGCTCATCAATATTTGAGCGACTCTGTCATTCCTAGGATTAGATGCTCTTATGAATAAAACCTCAAATGTGACTTAATTCTTTCAACCTTTAATTATTCCGACGGTTGTCAAAGTACCAACTGGTGCTATTCTGTTACACGTGGTTGAATATCAATTAACAATTGGTTCATGCTTTAGCGTGCACTATCGAGTTATGGAGCACGCGGGAAGTTTGGAGAGCACGAAAGAAGCGTAAGAGTTGCCCGAGGCGATAGCCGAGGGCAACTCTAGCTTTTTGAGTGCTCTCCAAACTTCCCACGTGCTCCATAACTCGATAGTGCATAGCTGAAAGCATGAACCAATTGTTTTAGAACATAGCCGGTAGAATTGTGCATCAAATCCGACGGGAAAAATGGACAACAATATCAGTTGAAGCGAATCGTGACGGCGCTGATGCCGAGTCTCCTTTTCCTTTGTTTTTCTCTTTTTCTGCCTCATTTAAGAACTCTAGCCCAAGGGAAAAGGTCGAAACATTGTCTTCGTTTTCGGACTAGTAGGCCGAGTTTCTGTTTGTATCCATTATTGTCGCGAAATATATTATTTTTCCC